AAGTCCTCCCCCTCCAGGGTAAAAGTTTTGAGGCAGAGGGGTGGTATATATGAGATTTTTTTAATCCTCTAGCCCACATATCAAGATATATGCACAAACACACTTAAAAGAAAAAAACATTTACCACCCATGTCTGTCTTTCTGTTTCTCTGTCTCTCTTGCACATGCACACGCGCGTGCACACACACACACACACACACACACACACGAGTTCTTGGACAGAAATACCTTCCTCCACGTGATGACTGGGGTGGGCACAGCCCTCACCTCACAGGACAGGTACACCTGCGCCCCGGTGACGTTGTGAATGCTCTGGGGTGGAATGACAACCACAGGAGCTGGGAGAGGAAGACGGGAACACACCTTTACCTTGCCAGGTTCCCAGCAGTCCCCCTCTAAAAAAAAATCCCGTGCCTGTGAAGAGCCTATCGGGACGTCTGACATGAGGGAGCAGCAGCTCTTCTAGGTAAGGAGCCATAAAGAGAGTTTTCCTGACACTGGGAGGACATCTACTGGTTTCCTAATCCATGGCCTTTGTTTTACTAACAGGAAAACAGGGGTCCAGAGAGGAAAGGCACCTTCCCAAAGTCACCCAGCATGTCTGGCAGACCTCGGGTCTCAGGTCTTGTCACACTCCCTCCCAGGGCTCCTTACAGCTCAACTAAAGGACATGGCGGTGATTGTGAGCGGGACTGGTGTCACAACAACAACAGCAGAGTCTTCTAACAGATGGGCTTTTCTCCTTCCATGTGGAGGGCATTTGAAATAATGCCAGGCAGAACAGCTGCAGGCACCCTGGAGCTGGGACGCCCTGCGGTTCATTAAAGATGCCATTTGCATTTGCAAAGCACAGACTCCGCAGGCCTCCCCCACCCCACACGCACCTCCCCATCCCCAAGGTGAAGCTTCAGACTCGGAAACCCGTGCAAGAGACTGAGGAGGCAGGGGCTGGGTGAATCAAGGAATCAGACAAATGCAGCTCTAAGCCGCCAGAACATTATGGGGGCAAGGAGGGGGGTGGGGGTGGTGGTGTCGGCCCTCTGGACAGGAGGGCCTGGAGAACATTAAGTTGGAAATTCTTAGTTCATACCCCACACTGCCTTCCTCCCTGTACCTGGCATCTACTTTGCTCTCACTGGAACTAAGTCCAGCTGCCTCAGGGTCCCATCCAGCCCCTCAATGCCCTGCTTTCCCTCTGCATGGGACACACCCCCGACCCCCAGCTCTACAGGTGGACATCTCACCCATCCCGCAGAGCCTAGAGGAGAGGTGTCCTTGTCCAGGACCAGGGGGTCTGCTCCTCTCTGACCTGCTGGATCTCAGCCTGCCTTGTAGTCCAGGCGTTTCTATCTGGTCTCACCTGCACCGGACAGCAAGCTCAGCAACCCTGGCATCCAGTTCCACTGGGTTTTGGATAAGGTGCAGCATGGAGGCCTGGGCAGAGAAATGCTCTCAGCTCGGCTCTCTTCATCTATAAGATGCGGATAATATTCCTGCTTCCCAGGGCTGTCTGGCTGAACTAACCATGTGCTGAGTGTGAAAGTGATGGTTTAAGTGACATGACATGCAAGCAGGGGTCAGGGGCAGATCTGGTAAACAGATGGCTGGGCAAAAAAACACATGACAAATAAAAGAGCAAACACATTTATTCCTGGGCCACCAAACTGCTGAGTCTATGATTGCTGGGGCTTTGCGACAGCCTTGCTGCTCTCCATGGGTCTGCCCTGAGAGGGACAGGGCCCTTGCCCACCTGGGTAAAGCTGCAATAAAAAAAAAGAGAACAAAGGGAGGGAGATGGAAGGCAGGAGGAAGGGGGTGAGGGACAGGGGCAAGACACACCCAAAGGAGTGAGAGTGGGCAGTGCAGAGATAAGACTTATCTGGCTTCTCCAGACTGAGAAGCAGACCTGTCAAGCCAGTGCCAAAATATCCCTGGGAAATTGTCTTGGAGCCACAGTCTCAAACTAGAGAGGCCCTATAGCACACCAGCTCCCCAAGCTTCTGTGCCTGCCTGTCTGTGGTGTGCTCATGCAGCCTCCATGTGCATGCCTCCAGTGCCGGAGAGCTCACTACCTCCGGAGCCAGGCCCTTCCTGGTAAGAAAACTCATTCTTACCTGGAGCTCAAATCTGCCTCTCTGTAATCCCCACCTGTTGATCTCTGGGCTGTCCTCTGGAGTCCCACAGCCTTGTGGGTGCCCTGATACATCCCTGTGAGTTAAATACGGAGAGTACCCTCCCCACCCCAGGCTGCTCTCCTCCCCTCTGCCTGATCAGCCATCTCTTTCAGTTGTGCCCATGTGACTGCCCTCTAAAGGGCCATGCCCAAAACACATTCCCACGTGTAGCCAAAGCCCCGCAGGAAAGCAAGGTCCTAGAGTTCGAACGTTGTCTGACAGCCAAAAGAGCCACATGGCCGTGCTCTCTGGCAGGAGTCCCATGCATCATGACAAAGAGAGTCTAATTTATTCACATCGTCCTGCCAGCGCCTCCTCAGCCACACAGGCGCTGCGATGCAGCCACCACTGGAGCCCAAACCGGTCCTCAAAAGGCTCACTGTGGGAACGA